CTATCTTCCATGAGATCTCTCATGATTTATTTAAAACAAAGTCGAATCAGGTCCATCCCCTGCTCATAACCCTTCAAAAGCCTGAACTACTCGATATGGTACACAAAGCCCTCTGATATCCATCATGTCTTACACTTCTTGCCTCATTGCTTTACATAGTTGTAACTCATTTTTTCTAAGTTCTCTGTGTGTGTGTGTCTGTATCTTTGTACATTTTGTAGTTTCCATACCCAGCACAGTGCTTGGCATATAGTAGTCCCTTAATCAATTTTGAACTGGACAAGGCTTCTGCTATCATTTTGCATTTATATGTATGTCTTAAGTTTTTATGGCTTCCCTGGTGGCTCAGAGGTTAAAGTGTCTGCCTGCAGTGTGGGAGACCTGGGTTCGATCCCTGGGTTGGGAAGATCCCCTGGAAAAGAAAATGGCAAACCCACTCCAGTATTCTTGCCTGGAGAATCTCATGGACAAAGGAGCCTGGTGGGCTACAATCCACAGGGTCACAGATCTTACAGTGCATTTTGAGGGGTAGTCATTAGAATTATTTACAATGTTCCTGTTCTTTTCCTCCTTCTGGGAATATTGCAGAATTATATTTCCCACTCCCTTAAAAGTTGGGCATAGTCATGTGATTTGTTCTCGCCAATAACATATGAGCAATAATAGCATGTACCATTTCCTGAGAAAGCATTTAATTACCCATGCAAGACACTGCTACTGTCTCTTTCCCTTACATGAGGAAATGGAAGCTTCATTAGCTTGGTTCCTTGAGGGACAAAGGTGAGCAGAGCCTCCTGCTGACCTATGCTTGAAATATAACATAGTCAAGAAACAGATATTACCAGTTCACTAAGATGTGGGGATTTACTATGGTCACATAACCTTGTCTGTCCTCACCACTTCATTCCCTCAGGACAGGAACAGTACCATTTATCTTTGGGTCTTCATGGTGCCGTAGTCAAATCAGACTAGAATATAAGTATTGTATTTAAACTCTGATTTCTGATTTTTTCCTAATTCACAGTATCCCATTTCAAAGATTCCTCTCTCATCTGTTTCTGCTGTCTCATTACTTTAGTACTTTCTGCTCCATTTTAGCACCATTCTGGCTTCTAAAATGCAAAAGTTAAAAACTAATCAGTTCATAATTCGGTGTTGATCACCATGTAACATCTTGTAGAGAATAAGATGGCCACCCTCTGATGACTGAGTGAACAGTTTCTCCAGCTCAGCCATAGCAGTGCTCTTCGGGGAAGGACAGGAGTCTGGCGCACAGGCATGCAGCTCTGAGGGATGAAAGTCATCAGCTTACAAGGGGATGTGAATGTTACAGCACAGGTCGCCCTGTATCCTCTGCCCAAGCAGATGGCACAATGACATGGTGATACAGGTAATAAAAGTTTTCCTCCATTTGCCTTTATATGCCTTTAAAAACCCTCAGCTTTGAGTATATGATTCTGTGAGAAAAAAAAAAAATCCTCTTCCTATGATCCTTTTTAAATGCCACTGTTAAACAGTGGACTATCCAAAAAGAAAAGGGTTCCGACACAGACAGTCTCTACCTGAAAGGAATGCCTAACGTTTACTCATTCTCTCTGTAATCCTTACAGTAACTTAAAAGGCATATTTTTTCTTGCTCATGTAAGTGTATTATACATTACTCCAGTCATTTCCTGGACATCGGTACGGAGCTGCCTACTATATGCATTAGTTCATAGGGTTAAAAGCGAAAGACCCACAGCCTTCTTAATATTTTCTTCTATCTATTAACAGTTCTAACACAGTATCTATTACCTCCTCCAGCCTCCACAGCTCCAAACATGCCCCTTCATAGGAAAAGGTCCAGCTCATCACAGCCCATCTGTTGAATATTCTGGAAGTTAAAATTAAGCCTGTAGGCACTGTCTCTATGATTTATGTTTCCTAAAGTCAATTACAAATTTTCAGCCAGAGGTATCAAAACTTTGAATTTAACTTGAAGTTTTCATTTTTACAAATGCCAACTGCTTTATTTTAGAGGGAAATATTTCTATGTTTACTAAAACTATTCAGTTTAGTCGCTCAGTCGTGTCCGATTCTTTGCGACCCCGTGAATCGCAGCACGCTAGGCCTCCCTGTCCAACACCAAAACTAAAACTATTAATATAATGTAATTTCCTATAGATACTTTCTGAAAGACAAACAAATTTCAGGTTTAAAAAACAGCTTAGAAAATTTTATCATGTTTAACAAAATCAATCTGTGGAAGGAATCTAATTTTTTTCAAGCTAACAAAGTGTTTAGGGACTACAGGAAATATATCCTTAGTGTTAAAAATACATAAATCTGTGAGCTCAGGTCTGTGCTATGAATGGAATAAGATCTTCTGCCCCATATCACTCACAACCATATCCAGGAGAAGTCCTGCATTTTCTTATGATGAGTCATTGGGTGGGTTTCTGCCTTTAAAATCTATCAACATAACACCAAGAAGAAGCCACAAAGGAAAAAGATGAATAGGTTCCCATGCACAAATGTTTAAACTCCAATACTAAATTAACTAATGATAAAAGATTTATAAAAATTTAGGTATTTCCAACATAATACCTCAGCACAGAGAGATCTTTTATAAATCAACTATGCACACACACAAGAAGATAAAAAATGACCAGTAGACCTAAAGAAAGGAGGGATTAAGTTCTCTAAATGAAATTTTTTACTCAGCTTATAAGCAAAGATTTTTTTAAAAATAGTAATAGGATTAAGGAGAGTATAGAGCATACTTTTGGTGCCAATAGATATTGAAGTCAACTTTTAGGAAAGTAATTTAACTACATATATTAAAATACCAGTAAATGTAGATTCCCTTAAATCACCAGTTCTAATTAAAAGCGTTTGTCCTCATCCAGTCATTAGACAAGTATCTGTAAGGATTTTTATCGCAGGGAGTTTGATACACATGTTGATAATATCTTGATGGATGCATACCAAAATATTAAGCTGTGAAGATCAACAAATTAAACCCGAAAAAGTCACTAGTTTTTTTTTCTTTTTATAATTTACTCATCTGTATGTCTAAAGTTTCTGTAACAAATACCTATTACTTTTGTAACAGTCTGTCTCGTTTTTATTCTCTTTTACAGAAAATGTAATTTAAAAGCATAGAAAGGGTGATTGGAACTTTGGAATTCTTATCCAGGGTTACTCATAAGTCAAACTGTATTCCAATCAAAAGCAGATTAAATGTGAAAAACAAAATAGTAGGCTCCCTTACACAGCAACTCTTGCTTCTTTTCTGGTTACTTCTACCCGCATAGAGAATTGTTTAAGGAAGATGTTTATGATCCTATATGTAGTCTAGAAAATTTTGGCCATAAAGTCACAATCTTCAATACTTGCACAATAACTTTTTAACAAGACCAGATATCTGAACAAAATCTTTGGGAATGCAGGATATGGCAGGCAGTAGAAGAGAAATTGACACCAATTTTCCTGAGAGTCCTTTTGGGGACTTTGGTGTGAAAGCCTCTCTTTACCCTATATTGAGTCCTGGCTACACATGGGAAAACAGAAGCAAATGAGAATGCCAAGCCTAGACAGAAGAACCAGAGCATGACCATGGACTGTGAGGTAGCCAGGCTGGCAGGTGTAGGCCTGAAATGGCTGCAGTAAAACGCCTGCAACAGTCACACATTTACAGTCAGTTTGGCGGTGTTTCCAGGCCAGGCCGAGGGATTTCATTGTCCCCATATTAGGCAGCAACAAAGATTTCAAATGGACCGAACATTTTATATTACTGTCAACAGCACTAATGTAGATTTGGCTGGCAGAGGAGAGGGAAACCAAGAGTGTCTGCATTATTGACTCCAGAGGAACACTGAGTACCATCTGCTCTCAACCACCATCTACCACCCAGCGCAGCTCTTTCTGCACCACACCCTCGCCCCACTTCTGTGAGCCCTCCCCCACCAGTCCTGGTCCAAGAACCTGAAATCCCAGTGTTTCTCCAAATACACATTTGGAAAGTCACTTTCAATGCAGCAGTTGGTAACACAGGAGAGCTCTTAATGTTGCATGATATTGTCTGCTCTTGTCCAGTTCCAAAAATTATCTACTCTTCCAACTTTCATTCTAAGACTAAATGCAATGCTGCAGTGCTTCTCTTATATAATGTGGGAGGAGAGGGGTAGCCAGACCATACAGTGTGGAAAACCAGTAATTCCCACACCAGGGTCTATAAACTGGTTCAGGGTCATAAAAGAATAGGAAAGCCTACTGAATTAGTAATAGAAACTAGGTTGCATGAGGAAAGACAAGTTTCTAAAACACCTACAAACCACACATGGTATCAACATTTGTGTCCAGCTGATTTTTTATGACCTTTCAGAAAATGAACTGTCCCACTCTCAAAAACTAGAGGAACAGTATTAATAAGGAAGTCAAAACCAAAGCCAAATCCAGTAGTGATTATAGTACTACATTTGATCTCTATGGACTATAAAGAAGAATATAAAAACAAGAGAGAAAAACTCAAGAGCTTTTCACTGAAAACAAACACAAACCATTTATACAGAAGCAGTTCAAATTTTATTTATAAATTTGTTTAAAAGCATATAAAGGATTTTTCTTTTGCTCACATTTGTAGCCTGAATTAAGAAAATAGGGATACAAATCTAAAGGTGCCAGAGCTTCCCCAAACCTGATCTGAGAAGCAGAAAAAATTAGCTGTTTAGAGACAGGCAGGCAGCACCCACAGTTCTCACTAACCTGAAACAATCAAATGACTCCCTGCTATTCTAGCGTCCTAACATGGCTGTAATTATACTTCCAATAAGAGGCAAAAACAATTAGAAAAATAATGCAACATTTCACTAGCAGTAGAGATTAAATATGAGTTCAGTAATCTGTGCCTACAAATATGCATAAATAATGACAGGGAGAAGAAACCAGTCATCCTCAGCCGCTCAGCTGAGTGGGTGGGCAGTTGGAGTCAAGGTAAAAAACAGTGAGGCTGAACAAAGCTACAAGAAAGAAAAACATCTCGTGTGGTTTTTCAAGGTCAGTTGACAAAGGCCAGACATAAGCAAATATTTCTCATGTATCCTGGAAGAAAAAAAAAATGAAAATTAGCACCAGCAACAAAACAGAATTCAAAGCCTTTGCAAATCCAAAATAAAGTTCCTCCAAAAAACACTCTGACTACATGACTATTTTTTTTAATGATTTCAAGTCCCAGTGAAATGATTTAATTTTCAAGTTCCATTTCGACTCACTAAATGGTCTCTGTCAACAGTGTATTGGCTTATTGAGTGACAGCTCATCAGCTGTGTTCTGAGAGATAGGCTAACATGGGTGATGACTAATAGTGTTCACAAATATTGTCACCTACCTCCATAGTTAAGAGCAAGGACAGGGCAAATACGGTATGGAGCAGAGCTACTTAAATGGAAATGTGTGGAGTAGAAGTGCAGTGTATTATACAGCAGGAGGGTGACATCTAAGGGGGCCTTGAGGAAAGGATTTAGACTTAAATGAGTTCCCTCCCCCCACCATGTGCAAACAGTCATGTCACCTCGATCAAGCCTCCCAGACTACCAGGCCAAGGTACACCGAGGTTTCAGACTACTGGCTCTAACATTCTGGGAAACTAAAATATCAGGTTGCCTCATGGGTCATGGCAAATGCTTAACTGCCCTTGAAGACACAGAGTTTCCACAGCATCTCAAAGGGTCTCACCTGCTAGTATCAGAGAAATTATCATTTGAACTGATTCTTTAAATATCCTACCTTAGATACATCTTATATGTGATTTCAAAGAAAAGCTTTGGATGTGCTTTTATTATAATTTTTGATCCCTTGTATTAGATAAAGAAATTTATTTTCTATACCTAGTTTGCTAGAGACTTTTACCATAAATGAGTATTGAAATTTATCAAATGCTTTCTCTGTATCTATTGAGATGTTTCTTCTATAATCTATAGGTGTTTCTCCTATAATTTATGTGGTAAATTATCATGGCTTTTTTTTTGGTTCTATTTATTTGTGATGAGCCAAACTTACATTTCTGAGATAAGTATATACTATGCTTTTTTAAAAAATTCATTGTTAAATCTGTCAAAACTTTGTTGTGATTTTTTTTTATCTATGTTTATGAGTGAGACTGTCCTATGATTTTTTTTCCTGTATAGTCTTTGATTTTGATTCTACATTTACCTGCTTAATCCTTTGGAAGAATACTCCCTTCTTTTCATTTATTTGGAAAACATTCTGGACATTTGAAATAATCTGTTTCTTGAACATTTAGTAAAACTTTTCTGTAATATGTGTAGGCCTGGTTTTTATTTTATGGGAAAACAGTACCTAATCTAGATATAATTTAAATCATTTTGAATCCTACCTACAAAGTGTAAAAGAAACTGTCTCCCCTGTCTTGCAAACAGAGCATGTTGTCAATCTCTTGTGTTTTGCCAAATAATAGATAATAAGTGATATTTTGGTTTAGTTCAATTTGTATTCCTTTTGTTATAAATTCATTGGGTGCTTTAATTTCAAAGATTGTAATTTTTTATTCCTAGAAGTTCTATTTTGCTCTCTTTTAGTCTTCCTTGTTGTCATTGTCTCTTGTCTTTGCTTATCATTTCAAAGTCAGTATTTATTCCAAATGTTTTACACATAGATATCTTAAATTCAATATCTAATCATTTAAGTATATCAAATTATTTGGTTCTAAATTTTGTTTTGGTGACCCTCACCCACAGCTATCTGTTTCCTGTCCTTGTGGTAAGTTCCAGTCACTGTGTTATACTTAGGATATATCAGTGAACAAAACAGTCAAAGAGCCCTGCTCCGATGGAATAGGGAATGCAAATTATCACAAGGAGAGAATAATAGTAATTGATCAACAAAACATCTAAGAAAATGATGTTAGAAACTTAGACCAGAGGTTGCAGAGTGTTATAGAAAAGAGAAATGGAGCCTGGAAAGAGAATTGCAGGAGTCTGGTGGCAGCATTCAATGGATGGCCAAGGCATCCTTGGATTTTAAGAAAATACTTGAGAGAGAACAAATCATTTGGATGTTTTGGAGAAGAGTATAGAGGGAGCAGCCAGTTCTTAAGTATTCAAAGAACAGCCAAAGAAAGCTGGTGCGGCTGAGAGGAATGAGGAAGCACCGCAGTCGGAAGAGAGTGCCCGAGAAGTAGCGTGGGCTCTAGGTCTTGAAGCACCTGTAGGATGAGTAACAGACATCCTGTGCTTTTACTGTGAAGACTTTGGCTTTTACTCTGGAGAGTCGTCAGAGCCACTGGAGGGCTTTGGGCCAAGGAGTGACAGCAGGTGACTTGTTTTTCAGTCTCATGTTGAGATCAGACTCTAGATGGAAGTGTGGAAGCAAGGACACCATCTAGGAGATGGTTTCAAGAATTGAAATGAGCAATGATGGTGGCTGCAATCAGGATAATAGTGGTGAAGGTGGATGAAGCTGCGAGACTGGACACATTTTGAAGGAAGAGTCCCATCAGCTGTAGAGGTGTAAGAGTCAGTCATGCAAACATGAAAGAGGACAGACACAGAAGTGGGGTCCAGGGCACCAAAGGTGAAGTTTTAGACATGTTAAGGCTGAAATGTCTACCAGACACACTAGTAGTGATGTTGGGTAGAAAAATGGATCTGCAAGCTTAGAGGAAGAGATCGAGGCAGGAAGTTGAAATTTGGGACTAAAAAGCATATTGGTATTTAATTTCATGGGAATGAATGAGGCCATGAAGGTATTAAGTGAATGTAAAGAAGGTAGTTCAAGATGTATCCCTGAGGCACTCTGATGTGGAGAGGACAGAAAGATAGAGGGGATTCAGCAAAGGAGAATGGAAAGCAGTGGTTACTGAAATAAAACTCAGGACAGTACAGAAGCCAAGTAAACAAAGAGTTTCAAAGAGGAGGCAGTGATTTACCATGACAAATGATGCCAATCAGTCAAAACATGAAGACTGAGAAATAACCACTCGATTTTGCAATGTAGATAATGTTAGTGACCACGAGAAGAACTTTGTGGTTAAATGGTCTAAATTCTGATTAGAGGGGGTTTAAGAGAAAAGGGAATAAAGAAATTGGAGACAGGACAAATACCTCAAAGTTTTTCTCTAAAGGGAAACAAAGAAATAGGACAGTAGCAAGAGGAAAAGGGGCATCAACACAATTTAATATTTACATTTTCTGCTGATGAGAGTTTTCTAGTCGAGATGACATGTGACAGTTTGGGAGAGAGGGAGGAGCATTGTTAGAACAAAGTCCCCCAGCAGATGGAGAAGACAGAATCTGTGCCATAATGAAAAGCAGACACAGAGGAGGGGATGTCTGTACTGAAGTGAGGTGGAGATGAGAACCTGGGCAAGTCTTTGCCTCTGTGTCACTGCTTCTTTCACACAAGTGAAAAGCCAGTGACCACTCTGGATTTGGGTATGCCTATCTTAGTAAGGAATCTTCAGTCATCCTCACTCACATCATATCCTGAGAAAGTGATGTTTCTCTCTTTCTATCTGTGAGGAACCCAAGTGGAGATTCATAGCTCATTTACCTAAGACCTACCAACAGTCAGGGGTAAGCCAGACTCCCACATCCCTATTCCCCTTACGGCAGCCATGGAGTAATCATTTAGTCTCTCCTGTCATCTCTTCAAGCCCAGGTATTTTTCTCTGTATGTGTGTTTAGTCTCTCAGTCATGTCCAACTCTTTGCGACCCCATGGACTGTAGCCCGCCAGGCTCCTCTGTCCCCAGGATTATCCATGCCCTCCTCCAGGGGATCTTCCCAACCCAGGGATTAAACCCAGGTCTCCTGCACTGCAGGTGGATTCTTAATCATCTGAGCCCCCAGGGAAGCCCTTTCTATGTATATGCACCTTCTAAATTGGGGTTATTAAGTACAGGAGAAAATGTACAGCAAGGTTCCAAGTCCTGTCCAAAATCTGAGTTTCAATCACATTTCACTACTTATAAATCCTATAAACTTGGATAGTGTCTTAAAATCACAATGCCCTATTTTCCACATGACTCCTACTCACATATTCTTTTAAGTCAATAATTTGTCAATTTCACACACAATGCAGAGATACTGTTTTGATTCTTTTCTATCTTTGTACATTGTCTCTACTCTGAATGCCTTAGTGATACACAGGAGCATACATTATAAATAGACACATCCACTATGCATTCTCTACAATTTGCCTACATTTAATTATCTTCAATATATATTGAGAGAGATTGTGAGATCTCTCCATAAATTTTAACCACTAGATTGATTCCAAGAAATCATGCATATGAAATCTCTAACAGATTATTTTCTCAAAAATGATCTTTTGTCCACCAAGTATTTATTAAGGGGTGATCTCCTCTGGAGTTACCAGGTCAGCAAGTACTTGATTATTTTCTCATATTTTACCAGTTTAAAGATTTCTGTCCCTTTTTTTTTTTTTTTAATAAGTACAGATACACTTGGGCTTCACTTGAATTGTAAAACCCACTGTGGTTAGTTTTAATTCTGTACACATTGCAAACCCCACAACCCCATACATTCCAAAGCTTTGGTGCTGTTTAAATAATCTACTGTGCACACAAAACACATTACATACATATTACAACATAGTCGCAAGGCTTTCTTCCCCAAAATCTGTAAGAACATTTCATTTTCAAAAAGTGCCTTTTGCCATAGGGTTTTTTTAAAAATCATTTCGTAGTGAAAAATTAAATACTGATTTCTTTGATGTGCTAGTTTCACTGAAAGAATATGTTACAAGAGAATGCTTACTATTTTTAGAACCATATTTCACTGAAAATCTTCCTGGAAAAAAAATGTTCCTTGGTTTTTATTGTAGGCATGGGCAAAGGGTGATTTTTTTTTTAAAAAAGCCTTGCAGTCCAGGCAATCACACAGCAAACAAAGGGCAGGTGTCATTTTTTATTGTGATTGGCATTGGGCTAGAGCTGAAAGCAGGACTTTCTCCATCTCTCAGAAGCTATGGTGGAATTTACAGTAATCACCCCAGCTGCCTGCCCACTACACAGCTGAATGGCACACACAAAAAATATTTATCTGGAGAGAAGGCCACAAC